CGTTTGGGTGGCTTATGTTGTGCGCCGCACAAGCGTGCTGTAAAGCATAGGTCCAGTAAACATGAGCAAGGCCGGCTTGTTCCAGATTAGCTCTGGTGCCTTCTGTAACTGTTCTAATAGCACGTTCAGCCATTGCATTAGACTGATGGATGTAGGCCTTCGAATGCTCGTGCTTCCAACCCATTTCTTCTACTGCGCCGGTGATTTCAGGGGCATTATCGCTGTAGAATACACCGATATCCTCGTTGTTGGCAACAAAATTATTCAATGCTTTGTAGCATTCGTCCTGAGACTTCCGTCCGGAAGGGTATGCAGCCAAGAATCCGGTAGCTACGTCCGTCAAGATCAAAGCCAATCTGGACTCACTAATCTCCTCCTCGTTATCCCTGTACACAATCAAGTGATCACCAGTCAAATGATGTCCGAACTTCTCAGACTTGATTAGACGTGAACCGTCAGTCTGATAAGAAGGCGGTTTGTACATCTTTGCCTTTTGGCAGGTAGGGCAAAAAGGGTTTTTGGGAATGTGAGTCATCAGATGATGCTTGGACTTGGCTTCTTCCCTCAAAGCTGCTTCACCCTTCGAAAGTTTGTCGCGATCAATCCCGGATAAGGGTTTGGAGGACGCAGACCGTTCCCGTACTTCACCGGCTTCGTCAAAGGCCTCATCAATGTCAAAATGATCTGAGAAGTCAAGCCTCTTTGGCTTCTCTTCTGAGGCTAACTGAATCGGTGCGGGATCCTCCTTCCGGAGATCGGGCTTCTTGTCTCGCTTTTCCGCAAAGTCGAACAGCGTGAGTTCTTCGTCACTATCTCCCGTTATGAGCGAAGGAACGAATGGCAATCGTTTCCCTGAATTTGATTGGAAACCATATGACATCAAAGTCTTACCATGTTCCCATGAGAGCCCATCGGTTTGTCGAATGGTGTACGCCGTCAAAGTCCAGCAGTCACCTGACCACGGTTGGGCCTGATGCCACAGCTTGGGATGAAAGGACAACAACCTGTCGCGGGTATCGAAAACTCTTCCATCGACGGATTTGCCACCCGTGACTTTGACACTCTTGTGCTTACCTATCGCCAAACCTTCACGCCGAAAGATAGGAAAATTCTCAGACTTCTCCACCCAGACGGATCCTCCCTGGTACTTGCCGACACCGATGGTGTGATTCATGGACTTGTCATGGTTCAACAAATCACGATGCACCCTGGAGTTGCCGCCATGATTGATACACAAAGTGGAGAATATGTCTTTGAGACCACGCGACTTCATGAATGCGATCAGGTACTTTGTCAATTGGACATGGCGTTCTGTAGCATTCGTGATGCCGGTCATTCCGCTAGAGCACCAAGCTCCCGAGGATCATCATCCTTTTTATCTTCACCTCGAACTCTCCGAGAATGTTCGCTAGATCGAAATGGCGTCATAGATAACACCTTGTAACAAGATTCCAAACGAAAGCCACCCTTCACTCTGAGCTCCCGCGCGAACTCCTCAGCATCCCCAATTTCAACAACCGTATTCCCTGGTGATTCAACCAGGTACCGCGGTCCCCTCTTTCCAGGACTTCAAGTACGGCACATAGTCCCTAACATCCATATAGATGCGACCCCCAGTCTTAGACTGAAAGTAAGGCCTTGATGCTGATCTCCAAACAAAGTCAAAGCCCTCTTCCATACATCGGTAACCGACTGATAGAACCGATGGTGTACTTGGAAGCACATATGGATGACTCACGATACCCATCGAAGGCACGGAGATGTTGGACTGTATCTCTGCGGTGCTGGGCCCATTGGCTGTAATGATGTTGATAGGGTTTTGAGATCTAGAACTCTTCAAAGTTCCCAAGTCGCCCTTCGAAATCAAGTCCTGTGCACTCCCTGTGTCAGCTATCCATTCGATAGCAAGGTCTTGGCCCATAGACTTTGTTGCGGCGACACACGTGGCCCCTAGATGCTTAGGAATGCAATAATCACATCCAAACTCGGTGTCACACTCGTAGTTGCATCTGGACCTCACGCCATTGTCGTAAGCCTCAAGTGTAGCCCTCAACATCTTTGCTGACGTCAATGCATCCTTCAGATCCTGGATGTTCGAGTCGGGAGGTTTGTGATCAAAGGACTTCTTGTAGTCGCGGGGTTCATACATAGTAGGCAACATCTTTCCGTCTGGAGGAATGATGTAATCAACCTTTTCAACAAAGCGAATTGCTGGCAAGGCACACGAGTAAGCATGCGACATGTTACTGCTGTCATCAGGCAATTCCTTCCGGAACGCAAAAGCGGCATCGGCTTGGGTTCCTGATGTAGCAGCAATCAATGCCCCTAGGAGGCACACGGCAGCGGGTACCTTCGGAGGCTTCGGCCCCTTTCGCTTATCCGAACCCTTGCTGCCCTTCGAGCCCTTGGAGCCCTTAGAGCCTCTCGAGTTGGATCTCGATTTGTGACGGGGCTTGTTCCCTTTCCCCTTACTGCCTGTACTTCCCGGTTTGCCTCCCTGAGAGCCACCCGACGCGGCCGGAGCTCCGGGCTTGCCGGTGTGGAGGAACTGGCAAGCATCCCCCTTATTACACCGGCCTGATTTCCAGAACCGACACTCGCGAGGTTTTCCTCCTGCGGAGGGCGAGCGGCCTCTTCCAGCTCCTTTTGACGGTGTTCGGGAGCGCTTCTCAGGGACCTCGTGCTTATACTTGCACTTGTCGCCTTTAGAACACTTACCATTGTTGACGAAGTCAAAACAAAATCCCTTAGGGACAAACTTCTTCTTGGGAGCGGGGGCAGATGGTTTGCCGTCTGCACCATATTGCTTGGCAATCCGTTCCCGGTTGCGCTCGAGGCGCTTGCGACGCAAGTAGTTTGTAGCCGCATCATACAAAAACTTGTAGGTCTTCTCAGGCTGCCCTTCGGTAGCACGCTCATAGATGTTGATATCATGCGACAAATCTTTGAAACGCTTGATCTGTCTGTGGAATAGGGGCTCAAGTAACGACTCATCCGGGGTCTTCTGAATACCCGAAAGAACAGTCTCCCAGTTGTGCATGAACGTCTCAAGCTTCTCATTAACCATCTTCACAGACAAAAGGTCCTCAAACTCATAGACCGAACCATGCTGTGCATTCGTAGAGAAGAAGTTGTCCAACTTGAACAGAACTTGACGCCCTCGCACAAGCCTTCCGGCATTAGCCTCCCTTTCCTTAAAAGTGTCAAGCTGTCTAGCAAACGCACCCTCCAAACTGTTGGTGACACCTGACAGTACCTTGGCATCGAGCGTGACGAACCCTTCCGGGTCGCGCAAGTCTTCTTCCTTAACATCCTTATCCCACACCCTTGACAACCAAGTGAAGGCATCATCCGGACCATCGGAAGCGGCAACGACTGCCTCTCTGACCCGCAATCTCCAGTTCCTATAGCTTTCTGGCTGTGGGAACTTCGGGAAGGTCACTTTGTCATACTCTTGTCATCTTTCTCTTTATCACCTTGATGGGCAGTGGCTTCCGCCATGCGCTTGAGAAGCTTCTTCATGGTCTTCTTATCAATGCGCGATGACGATGAGCTAGATGAGCTCGAATCACTGGAGCTAGATGGGGAAGATGAAGGATCCCGTCTTCTACCCCTCTTGGATTTCTTCTTGGACTTCTTATCCTTTTTAGACTTACGACCACGACCCCGACGATCATCACCATCGCCATCGGGACTGTCATCATCACCAGGTGGCCCGCCCGGAGGTCCATTTCCCTTTGGGGAAGTGCCTGCATTCGACATTCGTTCAGTCGGAGTATACTCAGGTTGACCTTCAGGTGCGGGACTACCGATGTTGTGGTGTCGCGGCAATCCAGGAGGAGGCTCCGTAAGCTGCCTTGCGGCCTCTTTAGCTTCCAACTCTCTGACTCTTGAAGCCAAGTAATCATTCTGCTCCATAAGGGAGCGCGCCTGCTGACTCTGGGCTTGTAGTTGCTTCATCATTTCTTCAACCTTAGAGCCTAAGGACGAAATTTCATGTTGTCTCACTTGCTCGGCTCGTAGGGCTGAAGTTTCCACTTCGCGAATGTGATTGCGTTGTACCTCAAGCTCTTCATTCGCTTTCCTAGCGTGGCTAGCATGGATGCTGGCCTCAATCAACGCATTCTCCTTCACATTCTCGGTCTGATGAAACTTCACTTCACCTTGACCCATCTCAGCCTTCTGAACGCTGAGAACTTCATTTGCACGATTCAACTCTGCCCTCAACCTTGTAACTTCTGAAAGGCCCTCATTGTACATGTACCTGAGCTGCTCCTGATGCTCTGCGCTCAAACTGCCGATGATTTCGCTGTGACGAGCCTCTGCGGCGAGAGCGACCATTGGAGACATGTCCTGATTAACGATCACTCGCCTGGCGTCAATGTGTTGTTGAGCAAGGTGAACATTGTACGAGGGTGAGGGAGTGCCATGGGGCAAACCACTAGCTTCGGCCATAGGTCCAGGTATTCCTACCGGAGAGACGTGAGTAAGAGATGCTGGCGATAGAAGTTCCAAAGGAAGTTCGGTAGGAGTCCTTACCCTTTCCCTCAATAACGAATCCGTAGGCGAATATGGTGCCAATTCGGTAGGGGTAGGGATTCCGGAGTTGGCAGCAACAATGGCCATCGGCGGGCCGTCCTCAAGTCTGGGGACTGAACCGTCCACTTCATTTCCGTCCTCAGTTGGCATCGAGACATCGGAGATGCCTGTGCTCACCGGTACGGGAGTGTTGTTCATGTTCCGGTATGACCTGCAGGATTTTGACGGAGCAACCTGGGTATGGCTCGAGTAGGCTACGGCTGATAACCTATAGTTTGTGCAGGAACGCACCAATTTTTCTTGAGCCAAGCAACGGTGTAGGTCAGCTAGACAAGCACACAACTACAATCAAAACAAAGGCCTACGAAACTGACAAACATCCTCACAACACTGCCTTCCCGAACTCCAAACCAGCCCAAAACACCACACGAAACCAACTTTCCAATTGCGGCCATGGCTTCTGATTGCTGCTGTACTGGTTGTAGCTCATGACGACGTAGCCTTAGCTGGCGAGACTCCTGGTGAACCGAACTGCATAACTCTAAACCCTAACCCTCTCTGACACCCAAAACCTCAAATCTCAAACCCCAAACCCTAAACCCCAAAGGAAAACCCCTAAACCCCAAACCCTAAACCCCAAGCCCTAAACCCCAAATGAAAACCCCTAAACCCTAAACTCTAAATCCCAAATGTTAAACCCTAAACCCGAAACCCTAAACCCCAAATGAAGACCCCCTAAACCCTCACTAAACCAAAAGCCCGCCAAGCCTAAACCCTAAACCCTATAAACCCTAAACCCCAACCCGAAAACTCTACTGATCTGATTCTCAAGCAGCTGGAACGCCGGCGGTTTGAGGCTGACGAGTCGCCTTGGAGCGGTCAGCACCCCCAACAGCAAGCCACCGCCAGAGTTTCCGGGGCTTAGGGTCTAGGGTTGAGGGTGTCGGGGTTTATGGCTTAAGGCCTACGGCTTTGGGTTGTTGGGATTTCGAGTTTAGGATTTGTGATATTTCCGGAGGGTTTCGGTCCGGGGTTTCGGGCTGTGGGGCTCTGCTATAGGCCTTGAGGGCTTTAGGTGGCATACTTGGCTGTTTGACCACCGCCATCCCCCAACCCCTACATGCCGGATCCGAAACCCCCAAACCCAACACCCTTAACCCGAACCTGACGCGCCAATCCCTAAACCCAATGCCCCTAGACCCCCTAACCCATGAACATGAAACCCCAAAACCCCAAACGGCACACTGACAACTACCCGAACCAATGGAGTAGCCCGGTAGCACCATAATATCCTCAATCGTGTGAAGAGGGCTTTGGAGGTGTACTTTTTCCGTAGACACTACAGTTCTGTTTCTTAAGAAACCATAAGTGAGGCCGCTCTAATTCTCAAGGCCCCTAAACCCTAAAGCCTATCTTAGCTTCTAAGAGCGACCCAGCCGCGAAGGCTCTGCAGCATCGACGCATTGGGGCCGAAGATGTCGGCGTCGGCCAAATCTGGCATTTCGAACTCGGAAGTGTGGTTCAAGTCCTGTCAGCATGATGCTAGCTTATTGCTTAGGGCTTCAGGGCTTCAGGGGTCTAGGGTTTGTGGTGCAGGGTTAAGGGCTTCTGTCTTTTTCTTCAGCTGGGTTCGACTCTTTTGCGTCTTGCCAGTGGTAGGCTCCCAACATACAAGGGTTTAGGGTTTACCTTTCGGTGTTTGGGGGCACTCCGGTTCAGGACCTAACCTGATTCAAATGCTTCCGTCGCATCATGCGAATCACCACTCTTAGGCTGGAACGCTGGCAACGATTGCTACCTTCAAGGTTTGGGCATTTTGGACAGATAGAAAATTGCGTCTATTGCCGCCCGTGCACCAAACGGGGAACGTGCGATCGAGTACTGTAAGTTACTGCCGGTCCCTTGCGTGAAAAGGATTACCAGAAGTCTCTCATGCGATTTTTTTGACATTTTTGATCGGGTGTCTAGACGTGTCATACATCGCACGTTTAGGGTTTCGGAGTTCTGGGTTTAGGGCTTAGGGTTTAGGCTTTCCGAGAACATCAGATTACCACAACATCCATGAACTCTAAACCCTAAACCCTAAACCCCAAACCCTAAACCCTACACCCTAAACCCTAAATCCTAAACCCTAAACCCTGGGCAACTTGCTAGCTCGCGGTGCCTAGGTGACCCGAGCAGCCCGAAATCCCGAGATGCCGCGGTCCCTGTTTTTGAACATAGGGCCCAGGGTTTCAGGTTTAGAGGTTTAGGGGTTTGGGGGTTTAGGGTTTAGGGTTTTGGGTTTAGGGTTTAGGGTTTTGGGTTTAGGGTTTAGGGTTTTGGATTTAGGGTTTTGGATGTAGGGCTTCGGGTTTAGAGGTTTAGGGGTTTTGGGGTTTAGGGTTTTGGATTTAGGGTTTAGGGTTTGGGATTTAGGGTTGAGGGTTTAGGTTTGATCTGAGGCAAAACTGGGCTCTGGAAAGTAGAGGAACTTGAGTTAAGTTTCCAAAATATGGATCCATGATTAAACTACATATGTGGCTTCCTTCAAAAACCCCTGAACCCCAAAACCCTGCTCAACGGAAACCCTGCGGGGCCGCAGTCCCTGCCTTGATCATACAAGGTTTAGGGTGTAGGGTTCAGGGGCTAGGATTTAGGGTTTGGCCAAAACCCCGCTCCCCCTAAACCCTGACCCCTAAACCCTAAACCCTAAACCCATCCCAAACTGGACACCAAGAAGTTCAGGGGAGCCGCCTGCATCGCCGCTTGCGGAGAAGAGTCCAAGTCGACGGCCTTTTCGCCTTGAACGCGAAGGCGACTCTGGTTCTACAGGCAAGCCATGCCGGTGGCCCAGAAGACCTACCTTTCCTAATGAACTATAAAGAAAACATAATAAGGAACCCCACAAGGTAGGTCTTTTCGGCTACAGGTTAAGCTTGGGTTTAGGGTGGCTGCGGGCCTTAAACTCATCGAGGCTTGTCCTTCAATCTCGGCGTTTCTAGCAATGAACAGGCAACCACGACAGACTGGGTCCTCCTCCAGGAGGCTTTATGCAAACAGAGTTTAGGGATACTTTATCTTGACATTTGTGCGGTTTTGTGGAATAGGACTTGTTGGCCTGTACAGTGGCAGAAGTTGTCCACAGATCAAGTACAGGGGAGGGTAAACTTTCTTTTCCGTGACCTACAAGAGCCTATGTCTTCTCAACTTGCAGAAAGGAGGATGTGAATCAGGTCTGTGCACTATGGATGATTAAGCATGATATCCCCGAAGAGTCCATACCTGACTACACTGCAAAGTACCCCCAAATCCTAGTCTGGTTTCCCAGGCCCCGATATGGCACAAGCAGAACCCTAAACCCTCAACCGACGGAACTCATTTTGGCCCAGTCACCTTCTGCTGAGGTGACTTGCAAGGCTTGCACGGCTCGCTGCCGTGCCCTGGCCTGCAGGGGCCTAGGGCTTCGGTTCTACGGCTTAGGGCTTTAGGGCTTAAGGCTTATGGGTTTAGTGTATGGGGTACCCTAACCCCTAAACCCTAAACCCTAAACTCTAGACCCTAAACCCTAAACCCTAAACTCTAATCCCTAAAGCCTAAACCCTAAACCCTAAACTAAACTCTAAACCCTTTAGGGCTCAGGGTCCAGCCTTCTGGAAGGTCAGTGCCCGCGGCTCGGACACTGCGTCACAAGCTTCCTAGGTTGTGGCCACCGGCGTTAATGTAAGGGCCAATTAGAATAGGGCTTGGGGATTATTGATACTATATTTATACTAGGGAACCCTAAGAATATGTTTTGTATTTTTTTAGGCTTCTAAATTAGGGCTAAAAGCCACGGGCATCTAGAACTTCAGTGAATACTGCCGGAAGAAAAGAGGCCATGTTCACGCCAGGTTGGACGTCGTGCCTTCAACTTGCCCAAAAAACTTCAAAACTGTGCAGTCAGCATACTGGCAACAAGAGATCTACTTCCAAGATCTCAGAAATCCCTTCACAAGTTGCCACAGCTCCCCACAGTAGCAAGACCACACTGACCGTGCCCAACTGCCGAAAACCCTTTGGGGCTTTAGGGTTTTATTAAGCCGTTCCAATGGCAGAACGAGTTTCTGCCATTTGGCATCGGGCATCGCTCCAGCTTGTATAAAAGTGGCAATTCAAAGTCTCACCGCCTCAGAACATGAAGTGGCTGATGAATTCCGCGTGGTGCTGACTCTGCTTCTAAGACCGTCAATCGGGAGCTGACCTCTTCTTGATCTCAACAACCACTGCTGCAGGTGCTGCTGCTCTTACGACGACGACTCCTCTACTACCACCTCGTCCTTCTCCTCCCCCTCCTCCTCTCCTACACCCTGGAGAATGTTGCAAACCTTTTTGAACGACTTCTAATTCTAAGAATATTTGGACGTGGCTACTAGCACACAGCTTGTTGAAGGTACCTCGTCTATGGACGAATCGAATCTACCCAAACTCAACACATTAATGGTGGCGGTGGGCATCTCTGCTGGCAATTGCCGTCCATGGCATCGAAGAAAACTGTGCGGCAGGCCGTTCCGCTGGAGTGGAACACAAACTCGTGCCCCAAGGTTCTTGGCCAGGCAAAATGCAGGGGCCGGAATAGGGTTTTGAGGCCTACTCTCGTATAAAAAAACAAGACAAGATGGAACAACATTGTTGATTCTCCCAGCCTCTATATTCGGCTTGTGTTTGCGCTTTCAGGCTCCAGGCTCCAGAATGTGTGGGAAGCAGAACTAAGGCTTAAGCCGTGCGAAGGGAGTGGGCCGTAACTTCGGCTGTGATGTTCAGGGTTTTTGCTTTGAAACATGGGGCTGAGGTTTACCGTTTCAGGGTCTTCGCCACCGGAGTTTCGTTTCGTTTGCGCCCCGGCTTCTTCAGGCAAATCCTCGAAACCAACTGCCTCCAAGGAATTCATTCGAATAGGGTTTTGGGATATATGATTACTATAATTATAATAAGGAGCCCCCACAGACAATATAGGTAATTATTAAGGCCCCTACATACAAACCCTAAACCCACTTCAGCCTTTCAACCTGAAGCCTAGTCCCCTTGAGACCCCAAACACCCTTAAAACCCTTAAAGCCCAAGCCGAATCCCTTTGCCCAGGGTCTGCGCAACGAACGTCTGCTCCGCAGTCATGACCATGCTGTCCCTGGCACTCGACGTGTCCTCGGCTGGTCCCAGAGAGCCCCATACCCTTCAATTAACAGGTATAGCCTCGACAAACGAGCGATGCTCAGCACAACAACCTTTGCAGCAAACCCGAGAAAGTATCCTGACAAGAAGCCTTTCCAATGAATTCCTGACCCCATGAAGCCCCTCATTATGAGATCGTCGCTACATAGCTCAGCTACAGAGCATCGGACGCTGCGGGCTGTGCCCAGTTTCGGGAGCAGCGTTTCTTCTGAGAGCGACTTGAGCTCAGTGCAGTGGTTTTGGGGCTTTAAGATGATTTAAGTGTGTCCTGCTGGAAATTCAAGTACTACAGGGGCCTTCACAACTAGTCGATGTATCTTACCCCTTGAAACCTATGTGCACCATGAAGGGTGAAGGGGACACGTACCTCCATAGCATGGCAGGGGTCACAGAGACTAAAAATGTCAGAGCCTCCTCATGTGAAGCTTTTGTGCCCGAGACATTCAGCAACTTCGGATATGCGCTGGTTCTCCGGGTTCTAACTCGAAGGCTCCTCAACTTGTACATGGAACAGATAACCCTAAACCCTGAACCCTGAACCCTGAACCCTAATTCCTAAACCGCAACTTTATGAGCGTCCATGCAACTGAAGAGCTCCTCAACATGTCGCCTAGTTGCTCTTCACTACAAGGGGGGCTCAAGGTTTTGGGGTCTAGGGGTGCCCTCAGTGGGGGGAACTCCTCGTCATACTAGCTTGCAAAGGCCCTTCATGTTCCTTGAACCGGCCCCCAAACCCGAAGCCTTACACTAAACCTCAGCTACTATAGGGGCCTGAATAATTAGAATAGGGTTTTGGGGCCATTCTACTATGGTTATAATGAGGAAACCCTAAAGTAGTATGGCTAATTACTTAGGCCCCTACATTACATCACCAAGGTTCGAGGGGGATAAGAGTGATGTTGTCCACCGCCACATCGCCGCGGAAGCTGGTGCCCGACACGACCTCCAGAGGCTTCTGAACACCTCTTTGCCATTAGCTTGCGGGATTAGGGCTTAGGGTTTTTAGAGCTTGGGGATTAGAGTTTAGAGTCGGGGATTAGGGTTTAGAATTTGGGGATGAGGGCTTGGGGTTTAGAGTTTGGGACACCACTGAAACCTTCAAAGAGAGGCCCTACACCCCCGCCCAAGCCCTGAACCCTGGCCCCCAGGCCCGAAAAACTCCTCAAGCCCTGCACCCCAATCCCGAAACCCCCAAACCAAAAAGGGTTTGGGGTTTAGGGTTTAGGGTTTTTTGGGTTTAGGGTTGAGGGTTTAGGGTCGGGGGTTAGGGGTTTAGCTTGGTCTAGGCCCCAATCCCGAAACCCCACATCCTTTATCCCCTAAGCCCCTAAACCCCAGCACGTTCCCAACGTTTCAAGGACAGCAAGATGCCGCCCTAAACCCTAAACCCTAAACCGTGGTGCCTTCAGCCGAAGTTTCGTAGCGCTGGCCTTGGGCTCTGGGAGCGCAGGGAAGCCACGGTTTTCGGGTTGAGGGACCAGGGTTTAGGGTCTAGGGTTTAGGGTGTAGAATTAAGGACAGTTGGGGCTTTGGGATTTAGGATTTAGGGTTTAGGGTTTGAGTTTGAGGGTTTTGCGGTTTAGGGTTTGAGGTCTTTGGGGTTTGAGGGCTTTGGGCGTTAGGGTTTGGGGTTTAGGGTTTGGCGTCCGGGCAGTCTAGGGCTCACGGTCGAAGTTTCGGGCTTAAGGTTTAGGCTTTGGCGTTTAGGGCTTAGGGCTTAGGGCTGCGAATTGAAGTAGAGCTGTGTATATGGAGCACGAGGGCATATTCTTAGGGTATTCTTGCGAACAAATCCGAACCGAAAGAAGTGTGCTTGTGAAACGCGCCAAGCACTTACTGTGTGAACATGGCTGACAAACGTTAGGGCTTGGAGCTGTGCCTGCCACTGGGGCTTAGTATATGATGGTAGATGATGGTATGTGATAGTATATGGTAGAAGATTCTAATATATTTTCGTATATGATAGTACCAAAAGTATGCTTTAGCATGCTATAAGACTTTACTGTTTCCCTCCGTCCAAGCGGCAGGAAGTGTTAGCAGTACATGAAACCATTCATTGCCCTGGTTCCCGGACAAGGACAAGGCGGCCGTCCAAGCTGCGCCTCGGCACTCGGAGCTCCGGCAGAGATGGACAAACTCCCCCGGCGTTGCCTTACGTATCCCAGACTAAAGATATATGTGGGTTGAGGGTTTGGGGCTTAGGGAAAATAAGACATGGCTGTGTGGGTTATCTCATTCTGAGGTCCACGTGCCGCAAGCCCTTCAGCAGAGCCAGGATCCCAAGGTGAAAAGTGGGCATTAGACCCTACTGCGAACCGTAACGAGCAACTATGTCCCTAAACAAAAGCCCTAAACCCCAAGGCCCTGAACCCTTAAACATCCCCCTTCAGCCCGAAGCTTTCCCGAAACATCCCCCTAAAGCAAAAACGCAAAAAAAAAATAAGAAGAAGAATAGCACCCGTAGAGGAACCCTTAAAGGAACCCTTCACCATATTATAGAACCCTATAAAGGACCATTTGAAGGGGACCCTGTTATAGAACCCTATCACGGAACTTAACCCTAAACCTAAGCCTAAACCCCAAACCCTAAACCCTAAACCTAAGCCTAAACCCCAAACCCTAAACCCTAAACCTAAAGCATCTAAACCATAAACCCTAAACCCTACAACCCTGGAGGCGCCTTCTTGGTACTCTAGCTCGAAGCTGCCCATCGACGAGCCGTACCTGAGTAGAAAAACCTCAAGCCGTAAACCCCGACATCCACAGCTTAGGGTCTAGGATGTTTGGCTTAGGGTTTAGGATTCTTGGTTCAAGATTTTTTTGAGGGAGCCCTGCGCACT